TTCCAGGCGCAAGAAGGTAAAGCGTTACGGGTTTCCGTCTTGGCATTCTTCTGCCTTATTTTCTGCCCTGGAGCCCAGGTGCATCGCGGGGCACTGGGGGCCGTTGAGCGAGTGTCTCAAGGCATTTCTTCCCACACAGATGGAGCTGGACAGCACGAGAGCTCAGGCCACACGCAGCGCTCTCGTGCTCGCCCACGGCAGCTTGGCACTGCGTGCCTCCAAGGAACAGCTGCTCGCCCACCTGGAGGGAGACATCGTGGGCAACATCCTGATGCTCTACAGCTGCAGCTGCCGGGTGAGAGTCAAAGCGTGCCAGGGTGTCTGAGCGCCCAGCTGCAGCCCCTCCACAGGGGGGGATGCTGAGAGGGGCCTTCCCTTTCCAAAGGTCCCCCGGGGAATGGTTTGTGCCCAGATGAAGACCCAAGCCCTTCCCTTAGCGTTGTCCCCACGTGTCCCCCTTGCAGCCCTTGTCCCATCCCGCAGTTCACAGAATGTTCTTCTCTCTTGGGTCTCAGGACTTGCAGAACAACCTCGCACTGGTGCAGAGCATCACCGACTTCAGCTCTGCCTTCCAAGCTGTGGGTGATTCTGCATCCTTTAACCCCTCCTTGAAGGGAAAGCTTCTGGAGATCCTGATGGTGAGTGCCTAGAGGCAGGACTGCCTGCAGAGTTCTGGGCTGCGCCACGAGGCCCGCTTCCCTGGGGGCACACAGGTCTCCTTCAGCCACACGTCTCCAGCTGGTGGGGACTTTGGGTGCTGGAGGCAGCAGCTGGGCAGCGGGCTAGGTGCACCAGCTGTCGAGCTGCTGCATCCTGCAGTGCTTCCATGGGAAACATGGGAGTGATGGGGCTGGTGTGTGGCAGTTGTGCCTGTCTCAGGGCTGGGTAGAACAGCTCTCGTGTGCCCCCTGCCCACCTTGACAGTGTCTCTCTGGGACTTGCAGGACCTGCTGAAGAAATATTATTCGGGCATCCCTGTCTCCCCAGTGCCCCTCAAGGTGGTCCTGGCCCTGGAGCAGTTGAGGTAAGGTCCCCATTTTGGGTAGCTCCTGAAGGCCTGGAGGGGGTAGGGGAAGAGGAGCCACATCTATAGGAGTGAAGACTGGGCTGTTGTGCCCAG